CGTAGCGACCACCCTGCGCGTTGACATTGGCGCCCTTGTCAAGCAGCATTTTGGCTATCTGCTCGCAGCCTCGAGCCGAAGCTGCCTGGAGTGCGTTCCCAAAATGTCCACCCTGTGCGTTAGCATCAGCGCCTTTCTCGACTAGCAGCATCGCAACCTGCTCATGGCCTCGAGCCGAAGCCGTCTGGAGTGCGTTTCCATAGTATCCACCTTGTGCGTTAACATTAGCGCCTTTCTCAACCAGCAGCATTGCGATCTGCTTGCGGCCTCCATCTAAAGCCGCCTGGAGCAAGCTACTATACCATGCACCCATTGCGTCAGCTTCAGCTTCCTTGTTAAGTAAGAGCTTTACTACTTGTGTATAGCCTTCGCCTAATGCAAATTCGACTGCTTGATGATAGAGCCTCTTCTGTATATAAAGATGGGCTCCCTTTTTAAGTAACCATCTCACCTCCTGCTTTTTGCCTTCCGCCTTAGCGGACCGGAGCCTGTGTTTGTAATCTTCATACTGTGCATGAATGCTCTTGTCCTGCTGAAGCAGCAGTTTCACGATCTGCTCATGGCCTCCATATGAAGCCGCCTTGAGTGCGTTCCCATAGTATCCACCTTGTGCGTTGACATCAGCGCCCCTTTCGAGCAGCAGCCTCACAGTCTGCTCTTGGCCTCGAGCCGAAGCTGTCTGGAGTGCGTTCCCATAGTGTCCACCTTGTGTGTTGACATCAGCGCCCCTGTCGAGCAGCAGACTCACAATCTGCTCGTGGCCTCGAGCCGAAGCTGCCTGGAGCGCGTTCCCATATTCTCCACCTTGGGCGTCGACATTAGCACCCTTTTCGAGCAGCAGCATCGCGATCTGCTCGTGGCCTTCGTATGAAGCCGCTTGGAGTGCATTCCCATACCATCCACCTTGTGCGTTGATATCAGCACCCTTCTCGAGCAACTTCTTGGCGACGGCTAGATGGCCAAAGTAACATGCAACCACAAGACTCGTAAGTGATCTTGGGTCTCTTAGATATTGCGAAGACCAGTAAATTCGCGACCAAACTGAGTAGACTTTGGACCCTGGGTTGGATAAGTTGAAAATAAGCGGTGCTACTGTTGCCCCTTCGTCATCACAAATGCTGGATTCGCGAAGATGTAGGCCCCAAAACCTTGCGGAATACTCTAGAAACGCATGGTTCTTGATGTTCCGTTTCTGATCTGTAGTGAGACTGCTATCGTAGTCAAAGAAGCTTAGGAATCGCACACAGCATTCCGCAAGGACAGTGTGGGCATCCTCAATCGTAGTGAAGCCATGCCACTGCAGCTCCTTAGAGATAGTGGTGGAAGACAACCTTTCAGCAAGAAGAAACTCACGAGCGGTCTGGTGGAGAAGGTAGACCTTGCCATGATGGACGGAGACAAACAATCCACACCACGACCTAAGACGTGACTTGAAATCCTCCTCTTGTTCAAGGTCGAGGTCATCGATTGATTGCTTCATTCCATCTACTTCTATAGCAATGCTCATTTCGGAGAGCGTAAGAGGTCGATTTGCCGCTAAGACGATGGACAAAGCCTTCTGAACCATCGAGCGGTCTTTGGATTTGTTCAAAATCTGTTCGTAAACTTGGTCAACACTCCTTGGCAGTGTCATTAAAGCAGATGCCATTCCTTTGGGTGTCCTTTTGAAACCAAAGTCTTTTAGAGAATCGAACACAAGGTAGACCCATAAGTATGTACGGTGCTCTATTGTTAGTAACCGATCTTCCAGGCAGGTCTTGATCTCTTCCGAGAGCCTTTCCTTTTTCGTGAACTGGTCCACTCGATATCTTATGACACAGTTCACTTCTCGACTAATCGTCTCTGACTCATCCTCTCCAGGTATATGAATATGTGGATAGGCTTCAGACAGACTGTGAAGCTCGGATATAATGTGCTCATATGGTCGGCTTGTCAGCAGAAACTTAACTTTCGCACCGCTAGATTCGCAGTTCCGGACTTCAGTCTCGATATTGTGCATCAGACCTTCCATTTCAGATTCGGCGCATTCATCCAGTGCGTCCAGAACGATGATGATAGAGCCGGCATTCGGATCTTTCACAGCATCCCCAAAAATGGTCCAGAGCGAGTTTTTTGAGTTCACTAGACCTTTGCCGTCCTTTTCATACCGTTTGATAGCATGTGCAAGAAGACTTGACTTCTGGGAGAACAGCTGGTGCAGCAGAGCACAGAGCGCCTCACGTACTGTGTTCTGGACCTGGTCTTTGAAGAAGAAGTAGCAAACTGTTGAGGACCCTGTCAAGACTTGGTCAATCAGGCACTTGGCCAGCACTGATTTCCCACACCCAGGGTCTGCGGACACAAGTAGCGGCCCTGACTCCTTCTCCTTCCATTTTTGGAAATGAGGGTGATTAAGGAACCACATGCATGTGCCCTCTACTCTGTCTGCTATGCGTTCTTTATACTCCTCGTATGTAACATCCTCAGTGCTTTTGGTGAGTCGAAACAGCTGAAGGCACTCTGCCTGCCGATCGGATAGCTTCCGCTCGTGTGCTTTTTGTTGGAACTCAAGTGACTTCTGCGAAACAGCCAGTCCGTCTTTTGCGATGTTCCTGTGGTCATCTGCAACTTGGTGGATGTCTGTTATGACTGCAACTATCAGCATGTATGAATGCAGTAATTATGGAACTTCCTCAGACTAACCGGACAGGACTTCACTGATCTTCTTCTCAGCTTCGACCATGCTTGGCGGAATTACTGAAAGCACCTCCTTCGCGTACGCTGCCGCCGTCCCCGCTGCGTACGCCTGCCACCGCTTGTTCTTGTGCGAGTCTGCATAGTCGCACACCCCGCGCACTACAAGGCACGGGAAGCTGTTCATCAGCCCTGCCGCTTCCATCTCGAAGCACAGCACTCCGCCCAGTTCCGCGCTGACCCTGTCTCTCTCGGCAGCGCTCCGCATCACCTGGTTGCCAGACGCGATGGTCCCATGGTGCACTACCACCTCTTGTTTCCGTATCTCCCGAGTGACTGCGTACTCTGTGCTGCACTTCGCGCACGTTGCTCGTCCTCCTATATGGTCATATTCCATCTCGAAAAGAGTGTCCGAGCCGGCAGCTTCACGACTGAAGTCGGGCAGACTGTCGAGCTTGGACAGGTACTCCAGCAGCCTGCCCCTACCTCTCATCTGCTTAGCCCGCAGGTTCGCAACCGCGTTCAACAGCACGGTCGGCGGCGCATTAAGGGCTCCCGTCCGCTCGAACCCGCTCGGCGTAGCCTTGCCCGAGTCGTACTGCACCACTCCGCCGTGCGTTTTGTGCGGCTTGCTCACCACCACGTCTCCAAGCCGGATGTCTGCTTCCTCGCTCGGAACGCCGCCGCCGATACCCACCATCAGGCCAAACCGGGTCGACGAGAAGGTCGACTTCATCTGCACAGCGACCGCTGCGGCCGAGTTGGTGCCCGTTTGCCCTTCAGGCAGACAGGCGATCACTACGTTGTGTTCGCTAACGCGTCCGCAGGTGTAGAGGTTCGTATCGTGGGCGTCATATGGGGGCGTGTTGTGCTCCTCGTCGAGCATCTCCTGCGCCGCCGCCAGCTCGACGGGCAGCGCGCACACCCATCCCACCGTGTAGTCTTCGCAGCGTAACGTGCGTGCCATTCGCGGTCGTCACAACAAGGGGTGTAAAGGTAAGAGTCGAGAGCCACCGCTGCGAGATGAGGGCGGGGTCTAGCAGCCTCTCAGCCTCTCAGTCCTCAGCCTTGCGACGTGCCCAGCGCTCGCCTGCCTGCATGCTGAGGTGAGCTGCCGAATTGACGTCCAGCGGCTACCGCCACAGATGCGGGCGAGGTGTGGGCGAAGTGTGGGGGCGATACGAGCGGCCCGCTCATTGGGTAGTCCTGCGCACGCTGGAGATGAGGCCAGTAAGCTCGCATGCGTGGACAACCCTCGTTTCACGCGCACCCTATCATCGCACGGCTACTATTGACCTTCGCAGATAGTGAAGGAGACGCGGACTGGCTTGCGTAGCATGGAATGGCTGGGATGGGACCCATTAGGAGCGGTGCCGCAATCGAATGCGTGAGCGCCGACGGTAGGTCGCTGCTTCCACTCATCATCTGGCCAGCTTCAACCCATCGCAACAAATGGACCACCTATCCGACCCCTGGGTAGCACTATGCGCACTCCGAGAATGGCTACAACGACTCCAAGATCAGCTTAGAGTGGCTCACACGCGTGTTTGACCCTCAGACAAGAGAGATCGCTAACGGAAGACCACAACTGCTAATCTTTGATGGCTTCGGGACGCACGAAACGCTCGAGATCCAGGAGTTCTGCTTCGAGAACAACATCATCCTGTGTCGTATCCCTTCGCATACTTTTCACAAGGTTCAGCCTTGTGACGTCGGGGTCTCTGCCCCCCTGAAAGCAGCTTACCGCGACCAAGTCGACACCATCTCCACTTAGATGCTGATAACAAGCAGACTCCACAGCGACAGCCTAAGTTGACTTTGCGGGCCACTTCGTGCACGCTGCAAGACCAGATCCACGCGCAGCTCAGCCGCGATGCTTCAGACAGCGGCACCAGGACGCTCGTGGTGTAGAGACTAGGCAGGGCAGACAAGACGCAGCTAGTGCTCGACTACGTGCAACAGCATCGCACCGACTACAAGGCGACGTTCTGGATTGAGGCATGACGTAAAGAGTCGCTGGAGCGCGACTTTGTGCAGCTGTACCAGACGTTGTTTAGGTTGCACACATCTGCTGCAGCAGAGACGATTAGCGTAGAGGACGCTGTGACTGGAGCGAAGAGCTGGTTTGCGGGCCACCAAGGCCTGTAGCTGATAGTGTTCAATGGCGCTGACACAATCAAGGACCAGGAGGCTGGCAGCTACGTTGACATTAAGCACTTTATCCCTAGTGCAGTGTTTCTTGACGTTATTCTCACAAGCTGAAGCAGCACGGCGAAGGACATGACACGTCTAGAAGGAGTGCAGGTGGGCAAGATAGAGGCGGCATAGGCTGCAGAGCTTTTCCAGAAGTATGCCAAGCTCCCGCATGACAACGTGGATATTAAGGTCTTAGTTATTGTCAAAGAGCTTGGATACCTAGTGCTGGCTGTCACGCTCGCTGCTATGTACGTCGGATCGACGCCGCGGCTGCAGAGCAACATCAAGGCGTACCTACCAGAGTACAGACAGTGACGGCGGGATTTGCTTCGACGGAAGCCTGAGAGCCTGATGCACCAGTACAGCGAGAGCGTGCTGACGACATGAGAGACGTCGTATGCTGCCGTTGCCAACTCGTGTGCAGAGGCGCCGGCTCTGATGACGATGCTTTCGTTCTTGAGCTTCGATGACATATATTTCGAGCTGTTCTGCGCTACCGACTACAGCGTTAGCGTGTTGAAGTCGTACTTTAAGCAAAGCTTGGAAGCACAGTTCAATTGGTTCTCAGGGATGAGTACAGTTTCTGGCACAGTAGGGTTTATCACCTAAGCAAAGCTTGTGATGATAAGGGGTAAGTTGTATGGTGAAACACTTTAACAACTTGGGGTAACGATGAGTAGCTCTGCTTCTGCTCATATACACTCTTTGCAAACACTCTCTTCTGCTTGCCAATGATCTCAATCATCAAGCCCTTCTGTCACGGGTTAGAGTGTGTCACGGCTAGGGTGCTCCTGCCTGTCGAACCTCACCTGCCATGAGAGTGACTGCCACGTCACACTGACGTTGTTTACAGCAACTCACCTATATATACTGTTCGTAGCTTCACCAATACAACCTCAGTTTAATTCTTCAATATTTCCGCACATGCGCACTAATCACTCACGATCCACCGCGACAGATAATGTCTTGTTTGTTTCAAGCTGATCTGTACAACATGAACAGAAGACTCAAATGCCAATTGTGTGAAATCGTGCCATTGAACTCAACAGGAAGAAGACCACAATTCGACCATGCCCGGTGCCGGGTGGGCATGGGGCGGCGGGATAAGCGCATGGCATGGTAGTGGGTTTGGGCAGCCTGAAGCTGATGCTGAGACTGGGAAGGAATATGGGAGGAGGACCTGGTGGGCACAACGGCCATGGGCATCTACCGCCGCCGCCGCCTCCTCCAAGTCCTGTTGGAGCTGGGGGAAGAATCGTGCTGATGGTTCCTGACCTAGAGTATGTGGCAGGTAGCCAAGTTGACGTCGTCTTGATACATATCTCGGAAGTCCGTTTGTTGGTGTCGTCCAAGACGCACATGGTTGCCGTGCATCGTGAAGTTGGGCCAACAGTAACAGTGGAGGGCTCCCATTGTCTGATTGTCAATGGAGCGAAGGTCAATGTAGTCTTCATGCCACCGCTCTCTGTCAAGGTAATCCGGGGATAATCGATAGTAGTGGTGAATGGAGGGCATGGCGGAAGTACAAATGTGCACGGGAAATAGCATTGGACCTGAGGGTTCGGGGTGTTTATATCTCAGGCGAGAGCCAGATCAGACTGGAAAAATTCGAGTTCTGATCATTACCTTTTCCTTCGCGGAGCGGCATGCCAGCAGGGATCGTGAAGGGCTGCGTAAAGGTTATGCCTCTAGGGACGATAGTTCCTCTTAGAAGAGGCTGACACGCTGGAATCGTGTTGCTATTGGAGTCTCTGAACGATTGATTCGGAGTATATCCTGCTGGAAGTGGTGCATATCTATTGGCGTAGGAACTTTTAGCTGAATCGTGGCAACCAACTGAACCGTCACTTCCGCAGCATGTAGAGGTAAGCAGTCGGAAAAAGCTACACTGCTGACAGGACGTTGCACCAGGTCCCTGCGGTGTGTTCTGGTTTCTTTTGTTGGGCAGCTTTACGACATCTGTTGACGCAACAGGATTGACGGTAAATGTTTGGCCACGACTGATCGTGGTATGCAACATGGGTATGATGGTTGCCGACTCTGGTGACTTGTAATGATTGGGCTCTTCCAATCCAATGCCCCCTCCAGACTCGTCGTCGAAGTCAACAGACCAGATCATAATGCCACCTTGCCACAGGTCAGTTCTAGCCTTTAATCTCATGTTATTGCTCAATATGTACCAAGCATCGGTCATAGGCATAGGTCTCTTTCATAGCATGTCTCAGCGTCATCATAGCCGACCCAGCTGTCTCCAGCGTACCTGAAATACTTGGTCATAGCGGTGGTAGTCAGGTACGGCTTGACGCCATCGTTTTTGATCCTCCTGCGAATTTCACGATTTGACAGGACACTTGCGAAATTGGTGCAAGAGCCAGGTGCGCCAGCTTGGCCTCCGATGAAGCGACAGCCCATCTTGTCGATTGACAAGTTTATAACTGCAACCGTAGTATGCGGTTCCAAAATTGATCTTTGCTGGATCAACGCCATCGAACCAGAGAGGCTTCAGATTCTTGTCGATTTCTGTGATATCTGTCTGGGGTCGGACGACTGAGCCAAGGGCCCATACATCCTCGTCCCGAGGACCATGGAGATCGTAACTAACGTCTGAATTAGCCTGTTGCGCCCTTCTAGCCGTAGCTTGTGGTTCGTACCTCATAAAACCCATGAAGTCGACATAGTCCTGCAGCTCGGCAGGTTTGAAGCCTCGAAAGTACCTCTTACAGTCAATATATCTCAGTCTTGCAGGTATGTCAAATACTCTTCAACGGTCTAGTGCGACAGTCAAATTACTTCCATAGTGACCACCGAAAGCAGCATGCATCTCCTTCATCAGAAGGACTAGGTTATCGGTATCTGCTTTACGGCCGCCACGCTTTGGTTCTGCGGGATACTCCCAGTCTATATCGGCGCCTTGGAAGCCGTAGGTACCCATAGGTTTTATTAGTGATGTGATGAAAGTGTCAATGAGGAGAAAGTGAGCAGAATCGTAATGAATTGATGGGCTGCTACGTGGTCTTTATATACTGTGGGCACTAGGGCCTATTCTAGAATAGCCTATAGGCCTAAGTGAAGGTGCCTGCCTGACAGAAAGCGGCTCGATTTGCTTTCGTAGATACCATGTCAAAATAAGCGTTGAACGTGGTCGTATTTGGGTCGTTGAATGACCATTATCCGGGGTTAGCTATGCATTTTCCACATCTGCAAAACCAAGGTGTGATATCTTGGAAAAGGAAAAATATGGCTTACCCCGCCGATAGCGATCCAAGTTGACCATTGCGTTTCAGAGCTGTGAATTCTCTGTACAGAGGGATATCTCCCTCGTTCATTGGCATCATCTCGAATGTTGTCAGGTGAAAGAATGTAAACGAATAGGAGAGATGAGTGAGTTCATGAGTGTTGATCTGACGCGGTGACACTTTGTCACACTTGCGCTCTCTCGTGTTCCAGCCTTGGTAGTATCCGATACAACGACCTTTGGCAGTTCCAGAATTCTTGCCACATATTGGCGAAGGTATGATCTTGTATCCTCTGTATCCTACTTGGCATGTCGGGGAGCGTGGACAGTACGCATATGGGAAAATTGAAGGATTGAACTGAGGTTGTATTGGGTGAAGCTACGAACACTATGTATAGGTGAGTAGCTGTAAACAACGCTAGTGTGACATGGCAGTCACTCTCATGGCAGGTGAGGTACGACAGGCAGGAGCACTCTAAACCGTGACAGTTTGCCAGAATCCAACGCTAGGTCCTCTGTACTATGCGGCGCGCTTTGACATGACCAAAATCGTCAATATGCTACTCCAAAACGGGGTGGACATTTGTAACGGTTTATAAAGCCTTCTGAACTCTAGGGTTAAGAAGGTCGGTCTTTTTGACCGCGACGACATTGATGCGTGCGGTGGACTATATGGCAATGCGCTGGCGGCAACTTCTTTTAGAGTCAAGATCGCTAGGAAGGATAGCGGTTGGTATTTGTTCAGAAGGAGGAAATCGATGAACCATGTCGGCATCCTTGAAGTTTCCCGTGCGAGGGACTATCTGCTGCCTTTCAGCGTCATATGGAGAGGCAGCGGTCTTCTTTGGACGAACCGGTCTTTGGGCACTACTCGTTGAATCATCAAGCACCACTGTGTTGGTCTTGCTTCTTACCTATATTTGACAACCGGCCCGGCATTTTTGACGGCAACCTCTCCCTGTGCTTTGCAGAGGACGATGAGGGGTCAACCTTGCGCGACGATGCTTGTAATGTACCGACCGCAGTCATGAACAAGGGAAAGGGCCCGCCACTTGTCACCATACCTTCTCCAGTGTTGACTTACAGACGATCGTGCTTTCCAGCAAGAGCAATAACACGACGTTATGACTACTGTGGAGAATTGGGATGATGAGTTAACGTTCTGAGATGTTATCTTGAGTGAAAATGAATCCCCCACGGGATGTGCTGGCTCGCATTACCTTGACGGACTTGAAGGCAATGAAAACTGCAACATCGTCGGTAGGATCGAGATACAAGCAGTCTTGCAACAAGAAAGTATTGGTACGCTTACACAGTTGCGAATGTCAGATCAGTCATATCTTATCCCGTGCTTAGTCAGGATGCATATGTACTGCATAGCTAATAACAGCAACAGCGTAAATAAACTACGTCTACAACGCCACATCTGCTCTTGGCTGTCTGTCTGTCATAGCTGCTTGCCTCCCAGCCCAAACACGAGCTATCTTAAGGAGTAGTTAGGCTACATTACAACTCTCTAGGACAACCTACAATTTGAGTATGTATTCAACTATAGTTTGAGTTTTTCTTTAAGCAGCCTTGACACTGACTCATTCCCTCTTCGATCTGCTGAGTGCAGCACCGTCCACCCATTGTTGCCCTTAGCCTTGGTGTCTGCTCCGCTGTCCACCAGTAGTCGCACCGATGCTTCGTTGCGTTCCCAAGTCGCCAAGTGCAGCGGCGTCCACCCGTTGTTGTCCCTCGCCTCAGTGCTCACTCCTCTGTCCACCCACAGCTGCACGGCCATCTCGTTCCCTTGCTCAGCTGCCAGGTGCAACGCCGTCTTCCCATACTTGTCCGCGGCCTCAAGGTCCGCTTCTCTAGCCAGCAGGAGCTATATTATCGTCTTGTTCCCTCTCCGAGCTGCCAAGTGCAGCACTGCCTCGTCACGATCGTATTTCGCGCTAACGTCTGCTCCTATGTTCGCAAGCTATCGCACCGCCGCCTGATTCCCTCCTTTTGAGCCATCCATAATAACGTCACCCTTCGTGAATTGGCACTGCCAGATCGATTCCATCGTCAAGCAGCAGCTTGACCATGTCAACAAAATCGTTGACTGCTGCTGAGCGCAAAGGTGTTGCACCACTGCTGTCCTCCAAGCGCCATTTGTTCAACGTTGCTATAGAAGACACGGTGTTGAGATGACTAGGCGCGAGCACTCGTGTCTGTTCTTGAACGCATGCATCCATCAGCGACAAGGCCTCCTGTTTGCGATCTTGCGACCTTGCGGCCTGAGGGTGAACGCGAGGTTGGCCATTGCCATCAACGTGTCTGGGTGGTCGTCTCCAAGCACCCTCTTCCTTGTCTCTATGACCCGTGTTTCTAGGATCTGAGCATCGATCAACCGCCCTCAACTCTCTAGCACCGTCCCAAGCTGGCTGACGCTGGTGAGCGTGTAAGGGTGCTCGAGCCCAAGCACCTTCTCTGACCCCTCTAGATCTCGTCGA